GACTCTTGCTCTCGCAAGGACCTAATTAAGTATCCACAAAACCCGCTTAGGCGTAGCCGTTTAATTAACTATCCACCAACCACCAGTTATGGGAAATAATCACAAGTTTCCCTAAAATTCAGCACACCTTTGAACCAAATGTGAGGCTCCCTAAAGGATCTTGCTATCCAAATTTTAAATTGGGGTTAGGGTGAACCGCACGTGAACGGTGGTGATTTTTGGGCCAAGGAAGGGTGATGAAATCCCCACCTTATCTTATTTAAGTTGGATGCCCTTAAATGGATTAACGGAAAGACAAAATAAATACAATAAATGCAACTAATTACAATGCACGAACAATTATTTCTAAAGTGCAATTCAGCAATTAACATAAAATAATAAATTATTTCTAAAGTGCAATTCATAAAATAATAAAGCAAACTAATTAAGCAAAAGGAACAATTAAAATAATAAAAAGAAAACCTAACACATTCACAACTAACAATGATAATTTCAGCAATTAAATAAACCTATATGATGCATGCTCTAGAATATGAAACCCTAAATGTTGGGATGCAAATGCAAAACTTTTAAAATATGAATTAAATTTTTTTTAGTTTTTATTATTTTTATTTATTTTTTTTAATTCGAAATTTTAAATTTAAATTTCAAAATTTGAAATTCAAATTTAAACTCAAATTCTAAAATTTAAACAATTTCCTATGTAACAATTAATTATTTAATTAAATAACTAAAAAAGAATTAAATAAGGCAACAAATAATTATAACAAAGAGAAAATAAAAGAATTAATTATGCTAAAAAGATTAACAACTACCAAAATAAATTCTAACAAGAAAATTGCTATTCTAAAAATTAAATCGAAAATAAAATTAACAAAAGAAAATTATGTGGCAATAAAAAATAAAATAAAAGAAACGAATTTTTTTATCCGAAAATAAAATAAAAAACAACCTAATAAAACAAAAATTCGAACAAGAAATTAAAATAAAGAAAAGAAATAGATCTAGAAACAAAACGACAAAAAATTAATACTAAAAAAATAAAATAAACTAAATCGGATCTAGAAAAAAATTAATTAAAAATTTGAAAATCACTACTCTACCAAAAAAAAAGAGTTCGAAAATAAAAATAAAAAAATAAAAAAAAAATGGGATGACTACACTTGAAACGCAATCCAATAAATCTTCTCTTCTCTTCTCTCCCGTAGTCCCGCAACACTTCGCTACCCCACCTTTCGCTATTCCGTCTTGTAGAATCAAAGAGAAACAAGAATTAAACTGAGATAACGGATCAAGTAGTAAAACAAAAATAAAAAAAAATGAAACATATTCGGACAAAGCAAATAAATTTTTTTCTCCGTGCTTTCTCGGCAACGGCGCCAAAAAATTGCTCTGTCTGGAAGCGTGTTGTTAACCACTTCAGAACACCAGTTTAATATTTATAAAATTTTTCCAATTCTCAAACAAATACAAATGCAGTAAATGGGTGAGAACGGGTCGTATCCATAGAGAAGCAAGGGAAAAACCGTTATCCGGGAAAGAGAATACAATTGGGAATTGCAGAAAATAATAAAATAAAATTTATTAATGCTGAAATTAAAGATTCGGAATTAAACAAGACAATAACTAATATTCAAAAATTAATAGAGTACTGAAATTAACAAAAGAAATAAATAAAAGTGATCCGAAATTCGGATCCAGTGGTGGTAGCTGCAGATTGGCCGGACAGCTTGTTGGAACCCCTCCTGACAAGACTTGGGCGTCCTTCCCCTCTTCAGCCCTCGAACCCCTTGAGACACCTTAGCCTTGAACCGGACGAATTCAAATCTGCAAAACAGAGAAACGAACTGGAATTAAATCTAAAAGAGTGCTGAAATAAAACAACGGAAAAGAAAATGAAGAAAATAAAAGAATGGTTGATCAGATCCCGTGGCGGTAGTTGCAGATTGGTTGAACAGCTTGTAGGAACCCCTCCTGACAAGAACTGGGCGTCCCCCTTCTACAACCCTTGAACTCCTCAAGAAACCTTAGCCTTGTGAACTGGGTGAATTGACCAACCCCTTCTCCAGGGCCCCTGGGGTCCTTTTTATAGAGGAGGGTGGACACAACTAGGAATAGAGAGAGAGGGGGGCGGCAACTAGGTTTTAGCAAAGTTATGGGCACCCTAGGGTTTCTAATGGAGGGTTAGGATGATTCTGGGGTGATCCTAGGGCTGAGAAGAAAAGAAGAGGGTGCCCAATATTATGTAGGGCTGAGATTTGGGCGCCCATAAATGATTGGAGGAAATTAAGGTGCCTAGGGTTGAAAGGTGGAGATTAAAAGAGGTGGGTGGCACCCTATAGTGGATGGCTGAGATAGAAGATGGAATGGGGGGTTGAGATCTGGTGGTTAGGGGTTGAATGGTGAGGATAAGCAGTTAGGTGGCGCCCTAGGGTTTAAAAGCTACAAAAAGAGTGCCCTAGAATGAGTGGTGGAGATTAGAAGAAGTGGAGGGTGGAGATTAAACAGCTAGGGGTGGCTAGGGTTTTCTAAGAGTGAAAAGAGTGGGTTAAAAGGCGCCCTAGGGTTTGCTAAGGCGTGGGGAGCATGCTAATACAGTTGGAGGGGCGCCAAACTGGGTTTAGCAGATAGGAGGTGCCCTCCTACTCTCAGTTTTTCACAAAAACACCCCCTATCTCAGCAGGACTTCACACTAGCTTCCCAAAAACTGCATTTCAGCCATGTAACTTCCCCAATTTTCCACAGAATTTGCACAGAGACCCTCAGAGATCACAACATTGAATTTAACTGGGAAAATGGCATACTTTGACTATTCTAAAGCCAAAAATACTCTTGAAATGATGCCCTTAAGACATCAAAATGCAGAGTTATCAAAGGAGCAAAGGGATCTAAAAAGTTTCATTTAGTAAAGTGGGAAAAGGTGTGCAACCCTAAAGTAATGGAGGAATTGGGGTTTAGAAGGATAAAGATCTTCAATAAAGCTCTCATGGGCAAGTGGTTGTGAAGGTTTGGATTGGAGGAGTCATTATGGAGAAGAGTGGTGGTGGGGAAGTATAGGGTGGTGAGGTTTGGGTGGAAACCAAGGGAGGTTTCAAACTCCTATGGGGTGAGTGTTGGAAGCCCAAGACTGTATAGGTTGGCTGATCATCAGGTATCGATTGCTCACTGCTATGACATCAGAGGTATCAGGTGGTTTGGAGTCCCAGGTTCAGAAAACCCCTGCTTGATCAAGAGGTGGAGTGTATCCTACTGCTGGACAAGCTAGAATAAACCAAAATTTCTTCAGCTAATGAAGATGGCTTGTGGTGGAAGGAGTGCAGGAACGAAAAGCTCACAGTGAAGTCCTACTTGGTTCTCACGAAAGATGGTGTGATTACTGATCAGTGATCAAATGATTGGAGTGTGGGGAAATCCAGTTCCCCCTGAGAATTGAAGCTTCTGCTTGGCTGGTCGCGCTGGACAGTGTTCTCACAACAGATCACTTGAAAAGTAGAGGTTTCAGCATGGTTGGTTACTGCTATATGTGAAAGTCCGAAGAGGAAACTGCTTTTCACCTGTTCTTTTCATGCAAATTAACAAACTTCATATTATTGATCAAAAAAAAAAAAATAGCAAACTTCATATTGGAGGTATTGCTCCTTCCTATTTGGGATCCCCATTTTCCACCCAGCCTCAACAGCAGAGATATTCTCTGCTTGGCCAAGGTTCAGAGGAAGCAAGAAAGCTAAAATCTAGAGCTGCATCCCATTTGCAGTGTGTTGGTCTCTGTGGTGTGAGAGGAACAGGAGGCTCTTTGAAGGAAAAGAAAAGAGTTTTGAAGTGATTGTTGGCTTCGGTTGGAAAGCATATCACAAGCTGGGTTCTCTCCCTTGAAGAATTTGAGCAAGTCAGCATTTCAGATTTTGCAGAGAACTTCTGGGATCTTCTTGAGATTCAAGTTTGTAATGTGAATGTTTTTAGTCTAGCTTGATGAATTGGTGTGTTGCCTTGACACCTGATCAGATTGTACTTATTTTTTATTTTTAATAAAATTTTCTTCATTACTCTTCAAAAAAAAAATAACTGAACAGAATGGAACAGCAAAACAGGATTCATGTGGCATGCCCCCCATATAGTAGGGACAAGGTTTAGATGACAATGATGATGGGTGGGGTGGAGTGTGGGAGTCAATTGAAGGGTTTGTTGTACTCTCAGGTATATTTCTGGATCCATACCTTTTCTTGATTTATCAGTTATATTCTAAAATAAATTTTTATCAGATTCAGCATCTATTAGTAGCCCTGACAATTGATAAAATGAAGGAAAGTAGACTAACATGGTAAGTTCTTGTGAATTGAAGACCATCTGTGACTGCGACAAAACCAGTATAGGAAAAGTTACCTATTGCATGTTGAAGAGTCTAGAAGAGCTAAGGGACACTGACCATCTCAGCTACTGTGTCATCGGCTAACTGGGAGTGGGCCTAATCCACCATATTCTTCCTTGTGAGAAATCTGACAGCTACCAAGTCATTCTCAACATTTGGTTTGAAGGCAAATCCTTATTTGAGCACAAGAACCATGGACACAAAAGTTCACTTTTGTAAACAAGCACTTTGTACAAATGGGAATCCAATGCAATTTGCCAAGGGACACTGACCATCTTAGCTACTGTGTCATCGGCTAATTGGGAGTGGGCCTAATTCACTGTATTCTTCCTTGTGAGAAATCTGACGGCTACCAAGTCAATCTCAACATTGGTTTGTAGGCAAATCCTTATCTGAGCACAAGAACCATGGACACAAAAGTTCACTTTAAATAAACACTTTGTACAAATGGGAATCCAATGCAATTTGTTTTCAACATGATTTGAAACCTTTACTACCTGCATAATTTATTTCACCAAATTTAAGTTGATTTTCAATGTTGTCTTTTCAAAGAATGTTCATGTCAAGCCATTATTGGAATCTCTGCAATTTATTTCTAATTTTTCTGATGGCTTGAAATCGTGTTGATTAACAGGCTGCAGAAAAGCAGAAAGCAACGTGACAGATCATCAATGAGCACTTTTGAATGTTTGCATGATTCATGAGTTCTTCATATTTAGGTGCTGAGGATGTGTGGTCTTAATGTATTGGTAATTCTCCATCATCTCATTTTTATCTTCATGGATATTTTAGATGGGTTTGTTTAATCTGCTTATGATGGTTTGCAGGGCCCTAGTTTAACTGGTGGTTGCACTTGCTGGGGTAATCAGAAGCAGAAATGGTGGTGGGAATGCCGGAGGGGTGACAATCGTAAGTATGGTGGTGGGAATGCCGGAAGGGTGACAACTGTAAGTTTGTAACTGATTGGAAATTAGGGTTTGTATCAAATTTTGATGTAGCTCACAAATCACTTTGGAGAACGAATGATCAAATGACTTTTTTTGTGTTTTACATAATACATTTTACTGGGGACAGAGCATGGTGCACATGAGCTTCACTGACCGTACCACGGAGAGCCTGTTGTTACTTTTGAACCAGCGCCTCCATTTTAAGAGGATGACCAGTGACTATCTCAACTACTGGGTCATCATCGGCCCCGTCTCTTCCGAAGCAACATGCATCACATAGAATATTTGCCGGTTTCCTAGCGTAGATCTCTGCTTTCACATTTTCTACCACCCCAGTATACGCCAGAGGGATTAGGGGGTGTTTGTCAATGTGTGTAGTTTTGTTTTCTGACAACGTAATTGCCACATCAGCAAGAACGTAAAAACGAAATCATACACATGGATGAACACCCCTTTAGTCTTCTATTGTAATCTTTCTATTTGCCATTCTCCCTGACAAAGGATCCCATAGAATGGGAGGGTTTGCATTAACATATAAAGATGATTTCATCAATAAAACATCTCAGAAAGTAGAATATGAAGCATAATAGTTATGGGTTACCCACCACCTAAAGACAACTTCCAACTATAGAATATTTGCAAAACAATTTGCTTTTGGATTCAAGTGAAGTTGTTAACCCACCACCAAATCTCACAACATTGAGAATTGGTGAGTGGATCTTTACCTATATATCTGTTTCATACAATAAGAAAAAGGAATAAAACAAAACAAAATACATTGCCCATGTATCTATCAAAATCTCAATATTTGTTCAACATTTCAGTTCAGCCAAAACATGAATAATTGGGTCTACATGGGTCACATATGCATTACGGTTCAGCTTCTACAAACAAGACAAATCACTCATAGTTCTTAAATATATATGAAAGTAGGGATGCAACAACACAAGAAATGACTATAAACCTAATTGTCTTCATCCCTTGTAATTGTAGGTTTTGAGGTGCCACCATGGTCCTCATCTGTCTGAGACACTCCGACACCCCTCTCTCTAACTCATGAATGTGTTTAACAATATTCCCGCCATTGTTCACTGGCGAAGTTACTTCACCTTTAGTTACAGTGAGATTTGCCCAATAAAAAAAGTTGCGACGACCATCTATTCTTGCTTATATCTGACTTCGGTTTGACTACTTAGGAATTGGTGGATTACCTTGTTCACATTCCAACTAAATAAATGTCAATACAAACATTAAGGCTTTAAACTTCTAAGCAATGAACTATATTTCGGCATTTACAATACTTCACATCATACTTCAACTGTTTGTAGGAGGAGCAACCTCTTGTTAACTGAGAACTCGTGGCTGTAACACAAACAAGATGTTAATTGCCAATATACATACTATAAAAAATGTGCACACACACATTCCATTTTGGATCGGTGTCATGCAGATCATATACCTGATACAATGACCTTAAATGCAAGATTCAACTTCCGCTGTATACTTCAACGGCATAAATTTACAAACCATTTGTATATCACAAAATACCCATATCCTTAATCAATCAATAATGCATTATATACTATAAATGATCCAATAAAACATTTTTTTAAACTGTTATACACATTCTTTTGCCTAGGGCATTAGCATCCCAGAACAATGTTTCAATAGAACCAAAAGAATGTACATTAGCCAAACAAGAAGCAACTCATTCCATTGATGACCAAATCCACAATCCACCACCAAATTCCAAGGTAAAGCAAATATTCAAATCCAACTGATATGTTTAATGATTTCAGAAAAAAAAAAATAAAAGTAATCTACAAACATTTAAATTACCTCGATGGCGATTCAAAAAAGTTCACACTTCTTGCCTCCTTGTCTGACTACAGGTCCGGAGAAGAATACCCAATAAAGGAGTTCAGTCGATTTTTCAGAGCTAAAGACAAAATGGGAGTGAGTGCAGGTGCACAGCTTGACTATGTTTACCACCGGTGTGCGCCGATGGAGATCTATGGCTTACCGCCAACCCACAACGATCTATTCCTTTCAACTGAGGAATATGCCGTGATAGTGAGGGAAGAGCTCGAGAGAGAAAATGGAATAAGCCACAGTGCGTAGGGATAATATGATGTGGCATTACCCAGGGAAGTCAGCCTTGCGGGAATATTTTCGTTCCATTCAAAAGCGTTGGTGCAAAGCTGTGGACGCTACTCCGTTCAGTGGGGAAGAGAGTGCGCACTGCGCAGGGGAAAGAGGGAAGGGGGAGAGTAGTTCAAGTTTCGTAGGTACATTTTGGAAATTTCTCATTAAGGTTGAGGTGGCGTTACCCAGGGGCAATATGGGTATTTCTTAGAATTATGTTGTCGTGGATGTTTCATAGGTGGGCTCGTAGAGTGACTTCAAATTTGTTAATCTCAAATTATGGCCTTAGGTTGTTTTCATTTACGTACATTGCTTCCATAGGCAAAATTTTTCTACGGTGGCTTGGTCCGTAAATTTTTCTTATTTTTTTGGTAGAATTAAATAAGGGCTATTGATGGGATACATATCTGCATGAGTCCCTATTAACAAGTAGACACGATAGTAGACACGATACTGGTATAGAAAAGGGCCTTGCATACAAAAATGTAATAATCATATTTAATTTCAACATGCAATTTACATTTGTCGTTATTGGATGGGAGGAGACCGCACATGACTGTCACATATTTGCAAAAATCGTACATAATCCAAAATATAATTTCTCATATCTACTATAGGGATGTATGCATACATTGCAATTTTTTCGTGTATTATTTGATTTTGTGCAAAGAATAATATTATTGTTCCATACACATTCTTAGGTAAGTATTATGTTATTGATTCTGCATATCCCAACATGACTAGTTATATGGCACAATTTTGTGATACACGGTACCATTGTCCAATTTTTGGAGGGGAGGACGGCTTATAACCAAAGAAGAATACTTTAGCAATGCCCATGCCTCATTGAGAAGTGTCATCAAGCGGAGTTTCGGTGTGTTGAAGGCTTGATTCCATATGCTAAAGTGTATGTCATGTTTCCACTTAAAACATAGCGACTAATAGTTGTGGTTTGCATGGCAATACACAACTTTATCATGATAACTAGGACATAGACACCCTACTTCACGAGTTTGAGAATGATGAAGAGTTCAAAATTCAACATCCGTCTGAGACAAATGAAGAATATATTGATGAGATTGATATTGGCAATGAGAATTAGCAACAAGAGATGTTGTTGCATAGGCAACAACTTACAGATGCAATATATGCTGACAATAATAAACTACCATTGAGGAGGCGTAGGTCAACATAATCCATGTTGGTGGTTATGATCTTTGTTTTTCTCTGGCTTTGATAAATATTATGCGGAAAAGTACGGACATGCCCACTATAGAATTTTGATTTCCACTACAGATCTACAACATTTCAAAATGTCAATTACCACAACCCCATGCACAAATGCCTGCCCATGAATTGGCATCAATTTCGAGCTAGCATCTACCCCAACTGTACTTTGGGCCTATGAATTCTAGCGCTAGGTTGAACCGTAATTCTCCTAATATTATGCAATGGATAGAGATGTATTTGACTTTATTGTGCGTAGGAACTTTGTGTTTTGGATACTTTATTATATATAGATACTTTGTGCTTTAGATACTTTATTTTAATTTAGTACTTGATAATATATATTCTCTCATTATAGGTCAATCATTAATGACTGATAGGAAATATTATATAGTGTTCATTGATCATTACCCAAGTATATATGATACCTGGGCCAAATGGAGCTTGTTGGTCAACTAGTGTGGTTTAGTGTTTTGCTCATATAAAACATACGAAGAAGTAGATTATCAATTTCGTCATTTCATTTCTTCACATGATTCTTCAACTAACGGGCCATCTAATAGGAATGATGCATCTAGATTAACCTATGTATATTGGGCATCCACGTCTGTTACACTAGTTGATGGGTTTACACTGGCACGATGTACATGTCTAAGTGAGATGCACTTTCACAAACATATGCACGAGGCCTGTAAATGGAGCAAATTCGAATCGAAACAAGCCATCCTCGAATTCGATTCTGATTACCTAATAAGTGATTCAAATTCGATTCGAAATCCAGGGGATATTTAGAAATCCTAACCAAATTCGATTTCGATTAAAATGTCGAATATTCGACTATAACTGATTTTGCAGAGAAAACTATAAATCTAAAAACCAAAATAAAGAGGAGAAACAACCATTGCATGTGGGCACCACAAAAAAAAATAAAAAAAAAAAACTCAAAAAATAAAATCATCATGTGTTAACTATTTGGGTTATGGTTGAGCTGGCCCCGAGTTATACGTGGCACCTTCGTGGCCGCCTTATCACCACGGTTGCGTCAGCATCACGCCACCTTCGCGTCCTACCTTATCTCTTCAGCCACATCGGCACCACATCATGTGGATAAGCGCGACCAAGACAGGAGAACGAATGGGGACAACTCCACTGGGGATTAGGTCTTATCCTGAAGACCTCGGCGGACAACCTCATCCTGACAACCCGGAAGCTTCATCCGACTAGGACACGGACCTTCAGCTATAAAAAGGTACCTCCCGCTCAAGATAAGGGGTCATACTCTGAACCCCCATACTGTTACTCTGCTCGAATCAGCACCGTTCTCTAACTGCTCGGCCCGACCACCCACCTTTATCAACTGACTTGAGCGTCGGAGTATCTACCCGGGGATAATTGCTCGGGCCTCTAACCACTTTCTTGGTTGTAGATCTTGGAGTGCGGCTTCGTCCTTGCAACTCAGTTCCGCCCAATTGGCAGGATTATTTAACTGCTACCGCCCAACTCAGCTTCCCACTTTCTTGTGGTAATTGCACAATAAGTCATTCCTAATTTCTCTCACCACACAATCAAGAAAGATGCCAAGAAAAGCTTTGAAATGTTTAACATGTCGATCTCCATCTTGGAGATCCCGCTCTCACCGTAACCCTCCACTACGAGAATCTCAACCACCCCAGCCTCAAGCCGCGGTCAACTCTGCCCAGTTTCAAGTAATGTAGCAGAAGGTCGACCAAATCTTGGCCATATTGCAGACGTTGGGCTTCGCGGCGCAACCAACACAGACCATCCCTCTTGCCACGATGCACCCTCACCCTAAGGACCCCAAAAAGCATCGGTCGGACAAGGGGAAGGCATGGTCCGATCAAGAAAATCAATAGACATCAAGAAGATTGAGCTCCTTAACCTGGTCCCGCAGACACGACGACCATAACGAAACGCACCAGACCACCCAAGTACCTGCCAAAGAAAGGCTCGGCAAACGGACACCACATCAATCGGTCTCCACCGTTGAGTCAAATTCGGTCAAGGTTCACCCAACGCCGCCCAAGAAGGAAAGAGCCATGCACATTGTGGCCCTGGACAACAGAGACATAGAGATTCGAGAACTCCGACAACGCCTGACCGAGTTGGAGCGTAGCCAAGCCCAAAGAAGTGTGATGCCTCCCATGATCCAACCAGGGGAGTCGAATAGCCAGCCTGCCAAGGAGTCGCCATTCCCCCAAGAAATTGTGGACTAGCTCCCCCCGATCAGCTGGTGAGCACCACAGTTCGAGAGGTATGATGGAAGTGGAGACCCTAGCCACCATCTTGAAGCCTTCAAAGCCCAAATGATACTGCACGACACATTCGAAGGCTTGATGTGTAAAGCCTTCATGGCAACTTTCAAGGGCGTGGCCTTGACATGGTACTCCTCCCTTCCTCCGCTCTCCATCTCTTCTTGGGAGTAGCTAGAGAACCAGTTTCCGGCCCAGTTCACAGCCAGTAGAAAACACTAGAAGACTTCGGTGAGCCTCATGCAAGTGCGGCAAAGGAAAGGAGTCTCTCAGGGAGTATCTTGCCATATTCAACACCAGAGCTCTACAGGTCCGGTCCTTGAACCAATCAGTGACAGTCACCACCATCCAGCACAGCCTCCACCCCTCTCCATTCAACTTCTCGATCTCGAAGAATCCTCCTCAAACCATAGCTGGGCTAAAGAACCACATAGAAATACATCAACTCAGAAGAATCACAAGCACAACATAAAGATGATGAAGAATGGCCTAACAAAAAGAGAAGGGATTCCGAGGAACGTAGGACATAGAGGGCGGACCGAGATGACAAGAGATAGGATCGTCAATCAAACCGAAGACCGAGGACCCCGCCACCGACTTACAGAAATTTCATGACGTTGAATACACCGCGGTCTGAAATCTTGACGCAAATTTGTGACCATAACTACGCCTGATGGCACGAGAAGATGAAGTTCGAGAGCAATAAGAGAAACCGCAACAAATACTATGCATTCCACCGAGACTACGGCCACGACACCGATGACTGTTACAATCTGCCCACCACATTGAGGACCTGCCAGGCACGAATACCTCAGTGAGTTTATCGACAACAAGGACGAGAAAGCAGAGGAACAACGACCAGCACCCAAACCCCCACCCCGGACTCCCCTAGTCGGGGTCATCACCGTGATCTCAGGCAAGATGACTACCAGAGGAGGGAGCAGCTCGGGCCGAGGAAAGTGCCCAACCGCAAAAACCCTAACAACGGAAGGCCCATACCGAGGAGTTGGAATATCGGGAACCTAAGAATGTACTACTAGTGACTCCACATCAATAAAGACAACTTTCTTTTGCACTTAGTTGTTCAACACCCCGCATTGCATGCACCGCACAACACACACCGCCCGACAGATCGCACGATGCACGATGCGCATCACACATCGTCCAGTCGAACTCTTAATGGTTGGAACGCCCAGACATTGACTCGGCCGACCGATAAGCCTACAACGTATAGCAACACGCTAGCCCAGCATCGTATAGCCGACCAATTCAGCTGACTCAACTGTTGACGGCAGAGCCCAAAGCGGGGAAGAATGCTCCCACCTCCAAAGGCTAGAAGGCAGTCACCGAACTCCGCACACCCTGCTGATGAAGCATCATATCAGAGCTAGCTAAAGAACGACTAGACCACAAAGCGTCGAAAGCTCCCCAAGACCTTTAACTGAGCATCTCCCAAGAGATGAGAGCTTAGAAAACACTTCGACCAAGAAAGTCGAAGACAAATGATCTCGACCACTCTCGACCTCGGCCATGATAAGACCAAGGCCTACAACTTGGTTCAACAAAATAAAAAAAAGGAAGCAAAAGTACACAAGCTTAGAACCAAAAAGCATCGTTTCCATTAATTAAAAGTTTGTACAGGGTTTTAGGCTCAGCATACCGATCTGTTTACATCACCAAAAAAAGGAAAAAAGGACAACATCGACGAAGCAAAACAAAAATCATATTAGCAATAGTAGCAGTAGACAGGCACCTTAGTCCTTGGCAGGGCGATCCACGGCCTCCTCAGGCTCCTCGGGCACTTCAACATCAATGGTGTCGCCCTCATTTGGAATATCAGGATCATAAGGGCCCAAGCCTTGCACGGTCTCGATAGTGTCGGGGAATCGCCGTAGAACCTTGTCTCGGCAAAGGTTGAACCTCATCTCGAAGGACCATGCCGCAAAGTCATCCATCTCATTCTGATACTCCTAGGAGGCTTTGAACTGAGCAATTGCCTCCTCCCTTGCCTGAGCCTCCCTCTCATCGGCCTCCTTCTATAGCCTCTCACGCACCTCCTTCAGCTCATTGGTGCGTGCTTTCAGCTTGCAGACCGTCTCAAACTACTCATCTATGTCGCGCTTCAGCTCGACAATTTTAGCTTCTAGCATGGTCGTCCACGCACCTGCCGCCTCGAGCTTGGCCAACCGAGCCTTCAGGTTCGTAACTTCGGTGTGGCTCGACTCATAGAAGCGCCACACCGACCGAAGACGGTCAACTACCGCGATTGCTGAGCAAGCATTCTGTAAAAAGAAGCAAAGTATCAACACAACAACTTTAACCGACAAAAAAAAAACTAAGTGCAAACGAAGACATACCGACACAGCTTGAAGGATGAGCACGCTCTCCGAGGTGCTGCTCTTGGACTCCACTGCCTCCCACCTCATGGCTTGCGTCTAGAGGCCACGGAGAAGTTGCTTGGGCACACCCTCTGTTCTAAGCTCGTTCTCAGTACTGACGTTCCACCGCAGCATATGGATGTGGTCTACCACCCTCTGGCATGTTCCCTCACGGGGAAGGGGGTGAATGGCCTGGGTGCCCTCCTTCGAGTCGACCACCATGACCTCTTCCTCGGCCTGCTGTCGTGCTCTCTTTTGTTGCTGGGGAGTCCTCTCTGCAAACCTCGGTTGTAACACCTCAGATCAGGGCTGGGCCCCTTGAGCAGTTTGGCTACGCCTGTCTTGCCCAACCCTCATCCGACGAAGAATTTCCTTACGGCTTGCCATCTCAGCACCTGCATGTGATAAACAACATATCAGTACCAGTCAAACACCAAGTAAACGAAAAAGAGACCAATAGAACCGAAGCGACAAAACGGACCGGCCTCCTCACTCATCAGCCCAACACAAATCAGCATCGAGAAGGATGTGTAATGCATTACATTGACTTCCCCGATCATTCCTATTGCTGCCCTTTCTTCCTCGGTGAGCCAGGCTAGCTCAGGTTACTTTACCTTCGTCCTCAGCTTCTGGAGCTCGGCTGGCAGAGGCGAGCCTCCGGGACAATGCACAAAGAAGAACTTCTCCTTCCAGTGCTTCACCGAGGACGGGGTCCCAACCAACACCTTAATACGCAGTCGGGCCAAGAAGTAATAGTATCCCTGTTGTTGGTGCTTCAGTTAAAGGAAGTAAGAGCCACCCTTAGGCTAATCTCAATGTCATGAATGAAGCAATAAGATATGAGACTGATCAAGAACCTAAAAGAGTTTGGCATCAGTTGAACGGGCTGTACTCGGTACCACTCGAACACTTTGACAAGATCCTTATACAGAGGGAACCTCGGCCCGAATTCTAGGCTCTTCTCATACACACAGAGCTCACTCGACTGAGCATCTGTGGGCCTCTCAACGGTTCCTAGGCACCTAACTTCGTACCCTTCTAGAATGCAATATAAAGCCCGGATCTGAGCCATGTCCCCGGGTGACAAACAGCACTACATGGTCCCAAATCGGTGACCAGCCTGCAAAGGAAGGTCAACCTTCTTGGTTGATAGCCATGCCTTAGCCTCCTTGGCCTCGGAATCCCTTTCAAAAGAAATCCCCTGAAAGTCCTCGGCCTTGGCCCCCTGGCCATTAGCCTCAAGAACATCGAGCGTGGCAGCCTCGGTGAGAGACCCTATCTCGGACTCAAAATAGGAAATGAAAGAGGAATTGGAAGAGGAAGAGGCAGAAGCAGAGGAAGAAGAGTGGGAAGACGAGGAAGACATCTTACCAAGAAAGGATTAGATTCGTGAAATTGAAGCAAACACCGAGCACCAAAGACTACTTCTCGCTGAGCTCTAAGTGCAACTTCTTTCACAAATGAAAAAGTATGAATGTTCTTCACCCCCATTTTATAGGGCTCCCAATAATCCAGATCAAGGCAAGATCAACAACGTGGATCAAACACAACCCTTTGACAGCTCGGGAAAGACGAAACGACGCCACTAACCTTCGTATGCGTGTAACCTCGGGAAGACGAAACATCGCTTCTGTCAACATGACATGAGCACCGAACCGGCTGGCCCGCCCAAAAACCGATTCAATTCCAAGGTCCTCCGCTCAAAGGCACCCTCAACCTACTTCAAACTTGAGTTCTTCAGCCAAGGACCGAAGAGCTCAACCACGCCACACCGTGGTCGAGCACTACACTCCTCGACTTCAGAACTGGGGGAGTGGTGTTTGGGTTATGGTTGAGATGGCCCCGAATGCCACTTGGCACCTCCGTGGCCGCCTTATCACCACAGCCGTGTCAGTATCACGTCACCTCGACGGACAACCTCATCCCAACAACCCCGGAAGCCTCATCTAACTAGGACACGGACCTTCGATTATAAAAAGGTACCTCCCGCTCAAGGTAAGGGATACAACTCTGAACCCGCATAATGTTACTATGCTCGGACCAGCACCATTCTCTAACTACTCGGCCCCACCACCCACCTTCATCGACTGACTTGAGCGTCGAAGTATCTACTCGGGAATAACTCCTTGGGCCTTTGGTTGCAGATCTTGGAGTGCGGCTTCGTCCTTCCACCTCGGCTCCGCCCAATTGGCATGATTATCTGACTGCAACCTCGGTTCAAGAACTACCTTGGATCGAGAAGCATCATTAGCAATGCACAAAAAAGCCTCAAAAAATCTAAAACAAGAAAGAAAATAGACAAAAAAAGCATAATCTAGAAGAAAGAAGAAGTGGGAGATAGATAGATAGATAGATAGAGATAGAGAGAGAGAGAGGGAATAGTTTTATTAGTGTCGGATGCTCCACACTAATAGTTTTATTAGTGAGAAGAAATGTGACTTCTCAACTGCAAACATTGTTTCCGCCTTTCCCATCCAAACACAAGCATGACTCCGGATCTGCCCACGAGAACCCTACCCACAATACACCACCCCCCGTGAATTGGGAACACCTCCCCATGCATAATGCTATGCAGAGGGTGAGATGTTCTCCATGTGTGGCTGCGATAAACGTGGGCAGGGTTCTTGTGGGCAGGAGATCTGAGCTCCACAGGCATAGATATGCCATCTTGACCTCCTCTTTGATGAGTTCTTTGGTGGCGTTGTCATAATGAAGCACGTGGTCACAACCTCGACTGTTGTCTGGTATCATTTTAAAGGTTCAAGGAGAACACTGCAATGTTGTTTTACTATTTTCAAATTGTTTAAGAAAAAAAATACGAACATGTGATATATTGTGCAAGGAAATTATTTTTTGTTAATTTTCAAACAAGAGTATTTATGTTAATTTGCAAAAGGGTAAAACGGGTATTTGAAAAATTAATGTATGGGTCTAATGCTTTCCATATGGATCATTAATGGAAAGGAGATTTTTGTTGAGTTCTTTAAGGGATGTTTTTGTTAAAATAAAATTGTAAGGGAGATTTTTATGATTGTTAGAAACTTTAGAGATGTTTTTGTATTTTACCCTTTACTAAAAACCCAAAGTAACAAATACCTGAATTCATGCTTAGATTCCATTTAACGAGCATATCTTGCCTAAAAGTTCCAACAATTGTGAAACTAACACCCCTCTATCCTTTCCTTTACAATTAGAATTACATATTTGTCTTTTTCTGTTAATATAATGTAAATACATGCAAAATAATACAAAATACAAGGTTTTACACCGTACTTATTTATATTTATATTTTATACATACCTAAACAGTTACAAATTTGTCTTATAATGATGGATGTACCATGATTATAAAAAAATTGAGGGCCTATTTGGAAGGGCCTCTGTTTATTGAGCGCTTGAGCCACTTCAGAGAAATTACAAAAAATAGCTTACTGAAAAGTCGATTTCTCAGCTCACAGCTCAGTTCATGTTAGGCACTAAGGCCTACAGTGCAACGCCAGAACTCAGTAGCCCCAAACGGGCAAAGAAACGTGCACAATTCAATTCAGTCAGTAAGACATATAGTGATTCTCATCCGGTTTATACTGGTCAATCCAGACGCCACCGTTTGCTCTGTTAGGCTTTTAGGCTTGTTTCGCTCTAATAAAAAAGAAGTCCTCTCTCTCTCTCTCTCTCTCTCTCTCTCTCTCTAGATTCCTTACTTCCTCGCCTGCAGGTCTCCTTCTGAAACCTCCGATAACTAAAGCTGCAAACCTCCTAAACATGGCGGCCTCTGCTCAGTGGCAGCCCGCCGAAGAAGGTCTCAGAGAGATCTGCCACTTACTCGAACAGCAAATTTCTCCTTCCCCTGATCGCCCCCAGATTTGGTTGCAGCTCCAGCAATACAGTCAGCACCCCGATTTCAATAAGTATCTTGCCTTCATCTTTGCCCGTGCGGAGGTACTTTCGGTTATTTGATCATAACCGAAAAAGATTGGGCTTTATTTTGTTTGTATTGTAGTTCTGCTTGTTTGATTGGCATTACATGCAAGTTTATTCTATTTCATTTTTGCTCGAGTTTTTTTGTAGGGTTATGCTTTGGGTGTTGTGTTTTGTTGATGAAACTGAGAATTGGGGGTAGCTATTAGTTGATTGGATGAGTTTTGTTAGTGAATTGGGATCTAGGACTGATAATAGGAATGCCTTCTATTGGATTATAGTGGTTGTTGCTCATAATGTCAGGCTTTCTTTAATTGCACCCTGACATTTGCTTCTAGGTCTTCTGACTTAAGTGTACTGTTTGTTTTAGTAAATTCCAGATTCAAGTTAAATTTGGAATTAAAAGTAAGAAACGGAGGACATATTAATGGGGGGGGGGGGTGATGGGTAACTTATCGGAAATGTTGCCCTCAGTTGACGCTATACCTTACTGTGTAATGGTATGCAATCCTTTTATGTGTAGGTCATCCTTCACCTTGCCGCTCTGCGTGTTTTGCTAACTGAGGGGGTTTAGGATGTTTTCAAGTAGAACTATCATCTCATTACTTATGGAAATATTTTGCTTTTCCCGTGCACATTCGTGATACTGAAGTTAACTCTGTCGCAATTTGATGTCAACTTAAGCTTGGTTCTCGATTCTCCATATCTTCTCATTCTTTTTCTGTATCATCTTTGTGATGTTTTACTCTTGCAGTATTAATTTACTTTATATCTTACACATATTTCCTATGGTCTTGGATTGTAACATGCTCTATTTGACAATAATGGTTTTTCTCTTGAAGTTGTATGACATATTTTATCTAAACTTTTGTTACTCTTCCAATCCAATTTGTTAGCAAATAGTCCAGAGCATATAAGCAGTCATCATATAGTATTCATACCCCAACATTTCTTTATTATAAACTTAATTTGTATTTTTTTGATAAGCAGCAAAGAGTTCATTAATTTAGAGGCATATAGAAAGAATACAAGGCTGGCTGGAAGACAATCCCAGTCGCCCAAAATAAATCCACTCAGCCCAAAACAATTGATCCCTATGTGCCCCTTGCTTGGCCAAGTGATCTGCCATTCAGTTTGCTGTTCTTCTTATCGAGCTGAAGGTTGCCTCCACCTCCTTAGCTAAAGATTGAATTTCCCTGATGCCTGATTGTCTGTCTATATTCCCAAGCTCTTGGAGTTAAGGTTCAACGTATCGATACACCCCGATGTGTGGAAGGGGTGTATCGGTACTTTCTACCTAGCATAAGCCTTATTTTAGTTTTTTTTTTCAAAAATGGGTCAAGGGTAGGTCTTAGGCCTCTCTACCTGCTGAAATGGGTCAAAAGGACAAAAGACCTGTATTTACTGTTTCAGACTCTCACCGATATGATACGATATGCCTGATATGGGGTGTATCGTGTTAAAATTTTGAACCTTGCTGGAGTATTGTTATTTAACCAAGAAATGATCACCTTGGAATCTCCCTCCACCTCCAATAGTTGTATTCCAAATTTTATGGCTAACCACAACACCTGAATACAGAGCTTTGATAACCCTTGTTGCATCTCTAAATACCCCTCCAACTCTTGCTGGTTTTGGGTTATCTAGCGAAAGTTCCATCAAAGTTTAGCTTTAAGCCCTTGATTTATTGGTGGTTTCCGTTCCATCACAATCTTATCTTTTGTCTTTAAAGAAGTAGCCACTTCTCTCCAAGATCTTACTATTTCGTTGACATTAAATTCCTTGAAAATCTCCATTGTTTTTACCCAGTTGGCAACCTTTAACTTTATGTTCTCTGCTATTTCTTCTACACTCTTTGTTTCTTCTTGAATATTCTTCCATTTTTCTCTTCCCTTATTATCCATAAGACCATTGTTCTTGCTACCTTCTACAATATTCTTCCTATTTTTGTAGGCTGCCTTAGGAAGTTAGGACTAAGCAAACTTGCCGCATCTTGGGGAGCCACCCACCTACACCTGAAGAGAGAGCACATTCACTAGTATTTAGTAAACGGGACCGGATTGGCTGGTCTAACTGGTTGAATGGTGACTTGGGCCTATATCCAGTTCGGTCATGCCCTAGGAACCAGAAAAGGTAGAAAACTGCTCAAAACCGGCTGACCATTTGGTTTAATTGGAAAATCGGTGAACCGGTCTACCATCATCATCCATGCCTTATCCCAACTATATGGGGAAAACTGGTGAATTGGTCCAAGTTTCCTAAAATTGCCCGGGTCTCAAGTGTGTGGAATTTTCAAAATGCAAATGGAAAGATTTGAACCCATGACCTTTTTTTCATGCATATTGTCTTGTTACCATTAATCCATGTCATTATTTGTGTTCATTTATGAATCTTTAATGTACATATTGCATTAATACACATGTATTTTAAAGAATATGTGAGGAGGTTTGCACCCTGGTTAGTTACTTAAAAAAACAAAGAACTAGCCATCTATCCACCACATTCAGGTATAATATTATTCGTATAATATATTATTTATAACATTTATGTGACCCATGGTATATATATATGTATATGCTACATTATCACGGTTCGACCTTTGGTTTGACTACTGTTGAACCTTGGACCCATGAACCTCTCCGCTTTCCGGTTCTATGTCCGGTCTGGTTTTCTGAACATTGCAATTCACAAAGGTACAGGTGTTTAGTAATGGGGAATAGTTTCACTGGCTGCTTTGCAAAGGGGATATATATGAGGAGAAAGACACGTAAAAGGCCTTCTTGTCTATAGCATATTATAGATAGTGATCTTGCCTAGAACCACTTCCCAATAGAAAGCTTGAATCCTAGGATGGACAGGTCTACTCCAAATTTCTTTCACTGGGAAGTTTATCCCCAAGGTATTTGATTGGACTAGAGAATTGAAGAAAGAAGCACAAGAAAATAGACTCATGGGAGAGGGGGACCAAATTCTATTGTCAACAATCTGGCTGTCAAAAAAAAGAAAAAAGCAGAGTCAAGTTTGGACAAAAAGGTGATAAGGGAGTTGCATTGCAAATCTCCAATACCTCTTCAAAACCCAAAATCCCAATTCAACCTAGACAAGGAAACAAACTAGAATTTACAAAAAGAGAGAGAGAGAGAGAGAGAGAGTACAGAAGAGGACATTGTTCTTTGAGTGGAATTGCCAAACCAACGGTCTTCCCAAAACAAAACATTAAAACAACCACCCAAATCATACCTGATAAAGCTTAGAAAGGAAGGAAGAACCTTGTAAATATATATATATATATATATAGGGGGAATTTGCTGAAGAATTAAGAGCCACATTAGCATCCCACCCATTGTCCAAAGCACCATGAATACTCAAAATGACTTTTACGCCAAAGCTTGCATCTTTCTAAAGGTAGGCACCACAACCATTTCCCTAGCGAAGTAGTGTTCTTGTGTAACAAATTCCCTATCCCTAACCCACCTTGCTCTTTGGCCCCACACACCACTTCCCATTGGCCAGATGGTCTTTGCTCCCTTGGTTCCCAAAGAAAATCCCTCATATATTTCTCTAACTTATTTGCTACCTTCGCTGGAATCCTAAAAGTGGACAGGAAATAAATGGGTAAGTTGACCATTGTGGATTTAATCAAAGTTATCTTGCCTCTGAAAAGATATAATTTCTTTTCCACAGCGCCAACTTCTTAGCAAATCTTTCCAGTACTGGTTTCCAAAAATCTTCTGAGCTTGGATTGCCACCAAAAGGAAGCCTGAGGTACTCCAATGCCCAAGTTTTTCTTTCATAGCCCAATAGCTCTGCATAATGCAACTACTCCTCTTCTTGCAAGTTAATTCATGCCACTCCACTCTTCCTTAAGTCCACTCTTAGATTGGAGACCTTTTTAAAAAGAGAAATTATCTCCTTCAGATTCCTGCCCACCTTCACAAAACAGGATCAGGTTGTCTGCAAATTGAAGGTGTGTAACGACAACCTCCTGCCTCCCTACCCTCCAACTTAATTTGTATTTTCAATTACAAGTTGTTTTAACCTCAGTACTTCTAAGAATCATGCATCTCAAGTTGGGTAATATGTACATAATATGTACTTATTTTTGGTATTACATACTATACATTACAGTGAATTGGGGGTGGGGCAGAGCAGGCATGTGATGCCCATTGGCCATACCATTAAGAGCCTGGAGCTTCACGGGTTTGAACCTGCACCTCCTATTTGGAGGGGTACCAAGTAGCCATCTCGACAATGGGGTCATTTATATTATGTAAATAATGTGTACTGGTTGTCTTGCATTGTAATGCCCACTTGTGATTACCATTGCCATGAAGTCTTCTATGGTTGGTTCTGCATTATTGTTGAATTGCTTTGTTGTTCCGCAGGATTTATATAGCCGACCCCATATGGTTGGGATAAGGCTTAGATGTTGATGATCCAATTGTTTGTTTCATTGTATGCTTGGAGAAGAAGTTAGTATTTGGTTTAGGGGATGTTTTTTTTGTTTCATGCTCTTTTTACGTTTGGTTTTGAAGATTTTCCTTTTATTTTCAAACAGGGTACACCAGTGGAAATTCGACAAGCAGCTGGTTTGCTTTTGAAAAATAATTTGAGAACTGCTTTCAAATCCATGGAGCCTTCAAATCAGCAATACATAAAATCAGAATTATTACCTTGCTTAGGAGCAGCAGATAGGCACATCAGGTCTACAGTTGGAACAATTATAAGTGTCATTGTTCAACAAGGGCGGATATTAGGTTGGCCAGACCTCTTGCAAGCCCTCTTACAGTGTTTAGAGAGCAATGACTTAAATCATATGGAAGGTGCTATGGATGCTTTGTACAAGGTATTTATAACTTAATGGTCACTGATATGAGTAACTTATTTATTTTTTTGTTTGAGACGTAACTTTTGTGTTGATGGCGTAAATGAAGTACAAGTTCCTTTAAGTGCTTGTTAAAGCTTCTTGTCTCCTAGTGTACTGGATCACTATGTATTTATCAAAACATAGTAACGTGTGTATGAGCCTGCATTGTGGGCTAACATATAAACATAGGGTGCCAGAAATAAGTTATGGGTAATTACATACAATGAGATATTTGCGCAACTCCATTTAAATTGTCAATAACTAGTGTTATACGGGCAGCAATCTGATATTCGGAAGTGGCATTTTGCAAAATTGATATATGGAATATCCATAATCAGATGAAAAAGGGAGCATCTATTGACATAACATCATCTGTTGCCTATATAATTTTAGCATAATCAATCGAGAAATTCCTAAAATCTTACTACTCTGTTCTGTTCTTTGAAAACTTTATGCTTGCACTTTTTATGTAGATATCATATTCATTTCTGACAAATTAATCATTTGGTGCACCTCAGATTTGTGAAGACATCCCTCAAGAGCTTGATTCAGATGTACCTGGATTAGCTGAACGCCCCATCAATATATTCTTGCCCAGATTGTTCCAGGTGACAGGATAGCTTTTTCTTGCCATGATTGAATGGGCTGGTCTTTTTTCTATGCAATTCCATATGAGTTTGAAGTTGAATGATATATTTTTCTGTGCTATAGTTTATACTGAAAATCATTATTTGGTTTGATTGATTTTCTGTGCTATAGTTTATACTGAAAACCTTTATTTGGTTTGACTGGTGCAGTTTTTCCAATCCCCACATGCCTCACTCAGAAAGCTTTCCTTGGGTTCTGTGAATCAGTTCATTATGTTGATGCTGAAGGCAAGTACATCTGATGTTCTGTTCAATGTTGTAAGATTCAGATCATTCATCAAACTGGAAAGGCCATCTCTTCACAGGTCAAGCAATTCAACCATGAGGTTGACCTAGTGACCCGTAATGTCTAGAGATATAATTATGTATACTATAACATGTATGTCTGTGGTTTAGTGCTTGAAGTGCAAGTCTTGTAAATCATATTTTTGTATATATATATATATATAAGAGTTTTGACCAATCAAAACCCACCCATGAATTTTGATAAATAACACCTAATTGGCTACCACATTTATGATTCTAGTTGACTGGTCAGACGTTTTTCTGACCAGTCAACTAAAAACCAGTCAAAAATAGTGTTGTGGCTTAATGGTAATATTCAATTCTTTGTAAATAGGAGGTTGTGAGTTCAGCTTTCGAGAAAAACTAAAAACCAGATTGCCCTCTCATTACTGAGTTGTGCAGTCCAGTCCAAGTCTTATAACATTGATTCTATTTTCTTCATTTATATTGTTCTGCTGTTGTTGGAAGCACCAGTATTTACTTCTGTTTTTTTTTTTATTTTTTTAAAATTTTTTAACACAGGGTTTATCTCGATCAATGGATCAGTACCTCCAAGGTTTGTTTGTTCTTGCTCTTGATCCTTCTGCGGAGGTGAGAAAATTGGTGAGTATTTCTCAATGCTATTACATGGTCAGGAATGATAGAAAGTTGACTACAAGTATGTACTTTTATCTGAGATGCCTTGCTTTAGAAAGCACATATGTTATGTAGATACTTTTAACATTTTCTCCAAATTGAAAACTCTACACATTTTCGAAACTGTAATTTCGAGTAATACTTTTTGATTACTTTAGTTGCATGATTTCAACTTGGGATAAAGATGAATATTTGATTACTTAAGTACTTGTATTAGATATAACATTAGGGGCTGGTAGATAACATGCACGGTTGATGGGTAGCTTTGCTTCAAAATTCCATAGTAGGTGTTGAATCTAGGGGAAAATCCAGAGAATAGTTGCTGGTTTTCTTCTAGTAGTGGAGAACTACCAGAAAATAACAAAAGAAAAAAAATAGAAATCACTTGTTTCTCCAACCATGATTTCAAGAGGAGAAGAAAAGCAGCTATTAAAGAAGAGCAGAAATTGGTTTTCTCAATTATCACTCTGTTCTTCTGTTCTGCTGTTGCTTCTTTATATCTTTTTCAGAAGGGCTTTAGATATACAAAATTGAAGGTACATGGAGAATCGCTTACTTAGTGTTTTTTTTTTTTTTTGCTTCCTTTATTCCATACTTTAATGTTTTACACCATTAGTTTTTTTTTTTTTTTTTTTGATTAGTAACTTGATCAAAAGATACCAATGTTTTGCAACTTTTTATTAATTTAGGAATTTATGACACTATGGTAGTGTTCTGGCTTTATCAAAATTTTATTACTGTGGTATTTGGCTGCTATTTATTTGCTTACTTTTTTACAGGTTTGTGCTGCCTTTGTTCAGCTAATTGAAGTTCGTCCAGCTTTCCTAGAGGTGTGCTCTTATTTATGTTTCATAGAAACTTGATTCCAATTTTTCTTGTTGTTATGTGTGCAATGACATGATGAGCATGGACAGTGAGGTTGGGAGGAGCCTGAAACTATAAAGGAAAGGAGAAATGAAGAAAATGTGACTTTCAGTCATTCCCAAGGGAATGTCTTATATCCAAGGGTTGCAAGAGGCTCTTGCTGGAGTCTTGGGGGGATAGAGGAAGGGTGGGACTGTGGGAGGGGCAGGAACTAAGTGGTGAAAGGAGGTTGGATCCTTCCTTGCGCGGCATTGGGTTTATATTGGGTTGTGTTTTTGTGGATGTTAGTTTGTTGGTATTTTGAGGTATTTATAATGGAAGTGGTTGAGATTTTAGAGTGATATATGGGACTGTTGTTTCTTCTGACCTCCTTTTCTTCTACTGATACTCCTTGTGTTGTTTTCTTAGACCTTATTCCATTTTAAGTGTATTCAAGATGGCAAGATAGCTAGAAGGATATGGAAACTATTGCAGATGGTTTATTAGAATTACTTCCTTTAGATCTAGATTTAAGTATTATTTCTGTCCCTTCTATTATCGACATTCCATTCTTACAGACTTGGGTCTTCCCATTGCTAATTCTTCTCTTACTCCAGATTTGATATTCCCACTGAATAATGAAAAGAAGTCAGAAAATGTATCTTACACCTTATTTCTAATTTTGTTATTTATGCTAATTTTTCACATTTTTATGAGACTTTCTTTGCAACCATTTCATCTATTACTATTCTAAAAATTGTTTCAGAGGCTTTATCTAAGCTAGAGTGAAAGGCAGCTAGATATAGTGAGATGGAAGCACTTATTAAGAATGAAACTTGGGAGCAGATAGTTCTCCCTAAAGGGAAGGAACTAGTAGGGTGCAGATGGGTTTTTATGGGCAATTAGAAATCAGATGGATCAGTGAAGAGATAAAGCCGGACTTGTGGTAATAGGGACATACTCAAACCTAAGGAATTGATTTTACTGAAGCATTTGCTCCTGTATCTAGAAATGAATTCTATTAGAGTTTTGTTGGTTGTTGCAACTTGTTGTTCTTGGCCTTTATATAAACTTGATGTACAAAGTGCCTTTCTACATGGTGATTTGCAGGTAGAAGTTTAGATGCTCCTTCCTCTAGGCATTAAGGTGGTTCTAGGGAAAGTTTGCAAACTTAGGAAGTCTATTTATGGGTTCAAGCAATCAGCCAAAGCTTGGTTTGATTGGTTCATCAAAGTCATTAAGAGAATTGATATAGTGCTTAATAAAATTTACCTTTACTGATAAAAATAGGTGAACTCACTTTCAGCCCTCATTGTTTATGTTGATGATATTGTGGCATGACTCATGAGGCAATTCAATAACTGAAAACCTTCTTTGCCTGAAAATTTAAAATTTTGGAGATCTTAGATACTTTCTTGGTATTGAGGTTGTAAGGTCAAAGTGGGGTATCTTTATTTCTCAGAGAAAGTACACTCTTGATCTACTTGAGAAGAAATAAGAAAACAAGGGTCAACACTTGCAGGCACAAGACCCAAATCATCACCTTTATAGTAGGGATGGAGACTTAAGTAGCGCTCGGTAGCACTGAATAGACCTCTGAATGCTGAAAATATTGCTTTTTCAATGGCTGGAGGTTGTTTGGTTGCACCTCTGAACTGTTCCTCTGAACATCGAAAATACCTGAATCGTTCAGCGATTGAGCTACCTCTGAGTGCATTCGGAGGTAGCGGACAAAACTTCGCTTCCAACAGTGCTCCTTTGTGAAAATCAAAAACCCAAAATTGCCCAGTAGCAGACAGTGGTGACCGGTCTCCCCACCATTCTCTCTTGCACAATGGCAACAACTGAGCTCTCTCATTTATTTGCTGCATTTTCTGTCAATTAAACAGAAGACAAACCAGCTCACTGCTAGCTCCCCTCCCGTTTTTTTTTTTCCTGTGGCCAGTGGCAACTCTGTTCTTCATTTTCGGGTTCCACTCTCAGTTTTTCTTTCTGCATGGTGGCCACTCTGTTTTGCATTTCGGAAAAAAGAACTACTATGTTATGTGTTTTCTGAAAGGAGGAGCAGAAAAAGAATAAGAAGGTGGAAAATGAGAAAGAGGAGAGATGGGGAAGAAGAGTGGCTGACACTGCTCCGTGTCACCGCTTGTGAAGCAGACTTGGGATGGGTGTGCCCTTCTAGAAAAACAAGTAAAAAGATTTTGTAAGAACTTACCTTATCTGTGCCCCATGTAAAAATAAATCAAAATTTATTTCTCTCCATACCCTATTTTTTATCTTCTTGCCACAGCACTTTTTTGACCATTTAATTTTTTAATATTTATATTTTAAACTTATATTTTACCTTTTTCTCTCCAAAATTCTAATTTTTCTATAAATAAATTAATATGATTTTATAATATTTAATAAAATATTATAATATTTGTTCAATTAATATTATTTTTATAATATTAATCTTTTTATTAATGTTTTTAATCTTGTTTATCATTTTTTAAATTTTATTCTTTCTTAATATTTACTTTTTTTATTATTTATGATATCATAATATTTTAATCATTTTTGCTATTGTTATTTTAAATGACAATTTGAGGGGTAAGTTTGTATAATGCACATTTTTCAGATGTCACAACATTCAGATTGTCGAACAACTCCACTGCATTCAGATGAGTGTGAAAGCGGAAAAGCAAATTTTCCATTGAATGCTTTCAGAGCTTTTCAAAGTTTTTTTTTTTTTTGTTGCTTTTCAGATTTGACTTCAGATTTACTGAAAACCACCTTAGACTTGCTAGAAGATAAAGGGATTTACTAGTGATTAGCGGATTGATTATTATATCTATCTCTAACTTGGACATTGCTTGTATTAGAATATTTTTCTGGTGCAGAGCTTGAATAGTTTGTGGGAGTTGTAATGCGTGTTTTATCTGGAGGGGCTCCTTCTTGCTTGGATGCTTGTTGTATTGTATTATCTCTTTTTGGTTAGCAATAAAATTTTACTTTACCTTTCTTCAATAAAAAAAACATTGCTTGTGCAGTTGGGGTGATAATTCACTATATGCATGCTCCTTGTGTTCCTCATCTAGAAGTTTCTGAAGATATTTAGATATTTGAAAAACTCTCCTAGGAGAAGATTGCTTTTTTCTGATCATGTCATTTAGAGTTAGATGCATGCACTGGTGCTGTTTGGGCTGTTTCTTACAGATGATTGACACTCTTAGGGATGTTAATGAGTTGGGTTTGTCTCAACCTAACCTGACCTGTAGATCAATATTGAGCATACCCCAATCTGAAACTCGTTTTAGACTACCCGACCCTAACCTGACAGGGTCAACTGACATCCCTAGACATTCTACATCCAGATATTGTACCTTTCTGGGAGGAAATTTAGTTACTTGGAGGAGCAGAAAACAGAATGTGGTGTCTAGATCAAGTATTGAAGTTGAATTTTGGTATGGCTAGTGGTATCTTATAATTGATGTGACTGGAATTGTTGGGCAAAGAGATGGGCATTGTCATAAATGAACTGAAGAGACTGTCTTTCATGTAGAGGTAGATTGACACTTAATTAGGGAGGAGGTGGACTTGAAAGAAATCTTTCATATGTTAAAGGACCAAGGACCAAGTAGCTGATTTTCTAACTAAGGGTCTGAGTAATAAGAAGTTAAATCATGTTTTCAGCAAGTTGAGTATGACAGATATCAATGCTTTACTTTAGGGGGGGAGTATAGAGATGTCTAGAGAGTTGAGTGCTTGTGTTTGTCATTTATTTTTAGGAGGGGTGCTATTGTAATTTTCTCTTAGTTAAAGCTTAACTAGCAAACATGTGGGCTGACCAAGGCTAACACCTATGAATTCTCATGAACAGATTTCTCCTTCTCTTCCTCTATCACTTCTCTTCTATTTCTTCTCACATACATGAATCAAATCAAGGGTGATTGCCGCTTGGTTTATCTCTACTAGCATGTTTCAAATTGGAAAGGAAAAATTAACGATAGTAAACCTTTAATCTTCCAGAGTTTACTCACTACCAAATTTTTCAGTCACTAGAGATCCATTTTTCTAGAAAATTGCAGCCTGGGCTCTGTTTGACCAAATTGACCCATTATATATTTCTTGAGCAAAATCTCCCACTCAACTTCTTCACCAATCGTTTCACTCAGTAGACTGCCCTTCCTCTACCTGATTTAATTACAGAAACCAGATTTTCAGAATATAATTCTTATATTAATTATTGGTTTGAGTTAGATTGTCTTTTATTTTTCTGGATTGATTTATTTCTGTTCTATTTTGTGCTGTGCGTTATATGTTGTACTAATCTTCTATCACCAGATTTTCCAGTCACTGGAGACAAATTTTTCTAGTGAACTGTAGTCTAGGCTCTGTTTGTGCAAATTGTCCCATTAGACATTTCCTGTGCAAAACCTTACTTCTCAACTTGTTTAGTAAACACCTATATATATCACTGGACAAGCTTTCCTGTCATTGATATTTAGTAACAACATACAGATCTATGAAGTTTATATCTTGGTCTAATTATCGGTTGGAGACTTGGAGTTAGGCTATGCTTGGTTTATTTTTTGGGATTGATTTATGTCATTTATTTTGTTTTGTATGTTATGTGTAATATTCCTTTATTGCAATTCTTAGTATGATCTTTATTATTTATTGCAGCCCCACTTGAGAAATGTTATCGAATATATGTTGCAAGCCAACAAGGATGATGATGATGAAGTTGCACTTGAAGCTTGTGAATTTTGGTATACCTCTGCTTTTACTTTGGATAAAATTTTCTGGTTGATAATATTTATTTTTATCATGTAGTTGTGCTGTATAGTATGGATGATGATGAACTCAAGGGTGCAGTAGGATGGTTTTGTAGATTTCCTATCAAGTTTATCTTAAAATTACTTTCTGTTTCCAGGGATACAGGATACCCTTATAATATGTGTTGTGCTATCCTGCCCAAGTTATGGCTTCTGTCTATTAAATTATTAAATATGATATTGAGAAGTCAGTTCACGTGGTGCTGTTATAAGATGGGATATGCACTTATTGAATCCTTGTGCCCCTTTGAGAACCTCTATGACTATCAACGATGTCTTCCACAACATAGTTTTAGATGTTGTTGATCTCAGTAAAAAACAATGTTTTAAAACGCGGTGGCGTGATGCTAGGCGTAGTTCAAAATGTAAGAGGCATAAGCCTCCTTAAGAGGGGGAGGAGGAGGAAGAGGGCGGGGGACTTTTTTTTTTTTAATGAAGATATTTTATATTAAGAAGAATGAAGATGCATAACACTAGCTGAAAGGGGGGTTGTTGAAGTGGAGGTGAGCGAGCCAGGACGGAGCAAGACCCTCCCAGAAGAAACAAAAAAGAAAAACAAATTGAGGTGCATTGAAAAGGGGTTGGGGGTGATGCCCCCGGCCAAGGGGGTCCAGGAGCTCCACCCAGTCCCAAACTTTCTTTCCCCTTCTCTTTCCTTCCCTTCCCTTTTCTTTTCTTTCTTTTTCTCTTTTTTTTTTCCTTTTCTTTCCCTTTCCTTTCCTTTCTTTTCTTTTCTTCTTTTTTCTTCTGTCTTTTTGTGTGAGGCGCATGAGGTGTACACCTCAGAGGCATCTATGCTTCTGGCATTCACCTCAGGGCATTTTGGTGGTGCCTCACCTGGAGGCGTGCCTCCAGTTACATGCCTCCCACACCTTTTAAAAGACTGGTAAAAACACTGAAATTGCATTCCTGTAGGTATTGTATTTTTGCAATTCTTTTTTCTGTAATCTGAATCCAGAAATACATTGGCAAGTTATGTTGAATTCCTTTTTGTGGTTTCTGAATGCCATGTAAGCTGCAATTGGTTTTTGTTTTTAAAAGCAAATTGAGGCATTTGCAAACAACTCCTGAACCATCAAGATTGATTCATAAAAGAAGGAAAACCTCAAAGTTGGGCTTTCAAAAACATGTTAATTTCTTGGAATCTACAACAGATATCTTCCATTTGATTTCAACAACACCCTACAGAGAATTAATTTTCATGTTTTTGGGGTGATTTAGATTAAAAAATTGCTGAATACCCCCTTAAAGTTCTCAAGATTAAAAAATAACCTGGAAGATCGTCTTCTTAGGAACAAAGTGAGCTTAGTCACACTTGAAACTAGGGACCTTGGGGGGCAGGGATGCACAATATCAGTCCAAGAGCATTTACAATTTTACATTTGCATATTGAAAAAAGTTAATGGTAGATGAGTTGCCTTGTAAGGGAGCCTTCTTAGCCTACCTAGGTAGCTAGGTAAGATCTCCGTCTCTCTTTCTTCCCCCTTCATTTCTTCCTTTATATATCCCTATCCTTTCCTCCTTCCTCAGTTCTTCCCAGGGGTGGATTCGAGCCAAGCCGAGCTGAATAGGTTGTTATTCGAGCTTGGCTCGCCAAGACAGTATGAGGCTTGAGCTCGGTTCGAGCTAGAGACTTGAGCTCGAGTCAAAAGCTCATAAGCTCGAGCTCGATTGTGAGTCAAAAATTATATATAAAAAATGTATTTTTTATTTGATATTTAAAAATTAATAATTATAATAATTAGTTATTATTATATATAAAAAATATTATGTATGTATGTAGAAGCTTGATTAGGCTTGCGAGCCTCACGAGCTGAGCTGTATTAGGCTCGAGCTCGGATCGATTAGCAAACGAGCCTATAAATGAGGCTCGATCCCGACTCGAAGCTCGGTTTAAACTGAGCTGAGACGAGCTCGAATAGCTCGTGAAAAGCTTGGCTCGTTGCATTCCTCCTGTGTGTTCCTTCTTTTAACACATTGTTTTCCCAATTTAACTAATGCTGGAGTTGGAGATTCTGAACTGATGGAAAAGTGAACTGCTATAGTGTGAAATGGTTTGTAGCTAAAGTAAAACCAGGTTAGCAAAAGTGGAATATTGATATGAGAATCCTCTAATTTCTCATTGATTTATTGGAACTAGGCCATACTAAGGCTATGTTTGGTTAAAATTCTGCTTAAAAAAAATCACTATTTGAAGAATGAGTTTTAAGCCAAAAATGATTCTTTTTTGATGTATTTTTAAACTCAAAAGAATCAGTTCTTAAAAGTTAATATGAGTTTCATCCCTAAAGAACTCTCTGGCAATTTCCTACATCCAAATCACAAAACTCATTAGATTAATTCTCTGAAAGTATTTCAAACATAACCTAAGATGCACTATTTGACATTTCAAACACTCAAAGTTGCTCTGTGCCTTGTTTGAGATACATTTTGTTGCTTTATTTATAATACACTGCTATTAGCTTAGGGATATTTCTGCTGTACTTGGCAAAGTGGGAAGCAGGTTCACTGTCTATCCTCTGGTTCCTGGTGTTAGGTTGAAGGTTTTGTATGTATGGATGGTTCGGCTGATAAGAGTTCTTATTAGCCTGTATTTGAGTTTAAGTTGTTATGTACTGGGCCTGTGCTAATGGGCTTAAGTCTGTTTAGTGTTTTAAGTTGTCTGGGTGTCCCATCACTAATCAGGGGCATCCCAGTCATTTCATGTAACGTTGTACTGTACTTTAATATAAATAATAGTACTGTYGACTGGGGAAGACTAGTTCGACATTTCAGCATCTCTTCTTCTTCTCCTCTTTTCTGCTACTTCGGCTACAGTAGTTTAGCTTTCACTTGGGATGTGGTGAGAGAATCTCTAGAGTCTTCCATAACTGTGTGAACTCTCTAAAGATGGTTGCATATTGGCTTAAGATAATGGAATCTTTTGGAAATTTATGAGTTGATTCAATCTCAAGAGATTGTTTTTACATGTCCATGTTGATATTTTTAGCAAAAAGTTTCAGCAAAATGGGCCTCTACCTCTTTTCACGCTATTCTGGTTAACTTTGGTGATTATGCAATGGGGGAACCCAATGCACCTTACTTGAGTCCAGGTGCAGCCCCTTTGAGAAGGTGCATGCCAAGTGTGCCATGCAACTCAGCCTAGGCTTGTACCTTTTTTAAAGGTGGTTTTTATTGTGCAGACCTCGCAACTTGATCTGTTCTTTATCTGGCTTGGACAAAGTTTTAGGCCCATGGGCTTGGGCTTAGGTTGACTATTTTTTGGGCCGAGCTTGGGCTTTCTCAAATAATCTCATCCCAATAATATTATATAATAAAAATATAATATATTAATAATATATAATTAATATGTTATAATATATCTGTCCAGATCATAGTTGTCAAGGTGATGTCCAAGCGGACACCTAGGTGACAAGGGGCCCTTGGAGGCTTGCTTGCCTAATTGCCAAGCGGTTTTGTACATTGTGCCATAAAATACTTTTATGTTCATAATTTTTTGAGATTATAATTATAAAATAGACATTATTAAACTAAAATATTCATTTTGTATGTTTATATACTAATTTCTTTTTATTTTTTTCTTATTTGTTAGGGTTTAATCAATACAGACATTGCTAAATGTTGTATTGAACCCTCAAAGACTTCAATACAGACATTGCTAAATGCTGTATTGAACCCTCAAAGACTTCAAAACCTGAACCAATAAGGAAGAAGTTACAAGTTTGTATAATCAACAGATTTTCTTCTTCCACTTCATCATCATCTTCTTCTTCTTTTTCTTCTTCTTCCACCTTTTCTTTTCTTTTTTTCCTATAACAAAAATAGGGGTGCAGCCCCTATATTTTTTGAATATTCTTTTCTTTCTTTTTTTCTTTTCATGAATATGTTGATTGGTTGGAAAGAAAATTGGCCTCTTGGAAAACTAAATACCTGTCTTTGGGGGGGGGGGTAGAATCACCCTTCTAAAGAGCTCCCTATCCCTATCCAACTTGCCATACTATTTCCTTTCTCTATTTCCAATCCCAACAAAATTGACTCAAAGTTTAGAAAGGCTCCAAAGGGATTTCTTGTGGAAAGGCTGGGAGGAGAAGAAGAAAATCCATCTTGTATTGGGGGTGAGGAAGCTGAAAATTTTTAACAGGGCCCTTCTGGGGAAATGGATATGGACATTTGGTAAAGAAAGAGACAGCTGGTGGAGGAAAATTTTAGCAGCCAAGTATGAAACTGACAGTGGGGATTGGCTAACCATTTCTAACCTCACTTCTTTGGGATGTTCTCTTTGGAAGAAAATCATGGAAATCTTTCCTCTTCTAAATAGTGGTCTATCCCTTAAACTGGGTTCTGGACATCGCCTGAAATTCTGGAAAGATAAATAGTGTAATAACAGATCTTTAGAAGAGATGTTCCCATGGCTTTACCAGATTGTAGAGAGTCAAGAGGTAATGATTGCTGACTGCTATGAGCTGAGAGATAATGTTATTTCCTAGAATCCTACTTTCAGAAGGGCTTTCCAAGATTGGGAAGTGGATCAAGTGGTGGATCTGTTTGATCTGCTTTCAAATCAGACCTTAAACTTGCTGGAAGAAGACTCCTGGGTTTGGAAGTGGTCTGCAGATGGTGTATTCTCAGTGAACTCTTTTGCCAAAAAGTTATAAGGGGGGAATAATGAGAATTTCCCGGCTGATTAAATTTGGAGCCAGATTCCCCCTCATAAAATAAACTCTCTACTTTGGGCTGTGGCCTTGGATAGAAACCTCACTAAGCAGAATCTGGTTAGAAGGGGAATGCAAATTCAAAATTTGGGTTGTGTGCTTTGTGGTCAAAATGAAGAGGACAACAACCATCTCTTTATCCATTGTCCTGTTTCAACAGCCTTGTGGGATCATTTCCTTTCTTCTATGGGCCTTTCCTGGGTCATGCCGAATAAAGTGATG